TGGCTATGAGCCAAGAAGTGAAAAGAAAACTCCACAATGGGACACAGATGGGAAGAAACAATTACAGATGTGCTAACACTCCCCTTCTCTATCCAAAATGGAAAAGCAAAGTTTTGCCTTTAGTTCTGCTTTAAGTTCTGGTATGTTGGCTTAGTTTAATAGCAGAATGTTCCTAGGTGGACTTTTGAGTACATCTGTGATAAGAGACATACCGAGGCTGCCACTTCTAGTCTCCTCCTGAAAATGCTAGTTGCCTCACTGTCTCTGATTGTAATTCTATTGCTTTTGTGAGTGTAGCACTATCCCCTTAGGAGTTGCTGAGTTTTGGGTCTCCCTAAAGCTCTGCTCATCCAGGCAACATGCATTTTCTTCCACACTTTGCACTCAGAGTCAGTAAACAGTCCTTGAGCTTGGCTTTGTGATTTTATTAAGAGATTTAGAACTTGGGTGGACTTAAGGGGTGTATGGGATGCCCAAGGAAACTACAAACCTGAGGACAAACTCCTTAGCAAGCACAGTATGTAAAGATGTGGACAAAAAAAAGTCTCTCCTTTAAAAGCATTCCAGCTCTCTGGTGTACCTCCTCAGACCCCAGATGAATCTTCACCCAGATGCACGGAGGGTATTCTTTGGGCAAGGGGACCCAGAAACTGCCACTTAGCAAAACAGCCCCAGATGAGAAGCTAGCTGGGTTTTCTACCTGACTCTACCTCTCCCCTTATCCAGCCCAGGGGGATGTAGGATTACTCACTCTATCTCTGCTGTGAGCTTGGTGGGTTGGTGGTTGCCTTCAGGCTTTATGCTGGGCTGGCTTCTTCCCTGCTCCACAGGCTGTCCTTTCTCTGGGGACAATGAGGCAGAGAGATCCTCCTTTCAGGTCCAGCCTGTAGGTGGGCCCCTCTCCTGGGCCTCCTCCTAGGCTCCACACTCCAGCCTTCACTCCATCTTCCACCCGACACACTACCCCTGCTGATCAGGCTCTCTCATACTTAAGGGCCGCCCTGATTCCGTGCCAAGCCTCCTGCTTGGGGATTGGTCAAAGTCCCTTAAACATGCAGATCAGCCCCTCTTTACCCTGATCCTTCCAGAATCTTCTCAAGTTTCTAGAGCAGGGGGAGGTATCAGGGAACTGTCCTGCAAAGCCCCCAGCTCTAACCTAGAGTAACCTGGCTGACTATTCCCAGGCTGCTACTCAACCTCTGCCTAAAAACTATATAGCTCCCCATAGCTAAAATGGAGGGGCACTACACGAGTGTCAGAAAAGTTTCAGAATGCCTTACTACTATGCTTGTCCCGGGGAAGTGACTCAGAATTGAGGCCAAACACTCTGCCCTGATTGGACAGCAAGGGAGTAGCAGAATACTTATGAACTTATTGCAACCAAACAAAGGATTTCCCAGCAACACTTACCAGCCAGCCTGCAAAACAACCAATTTGGCCCTGTCTAAGAGTTTGCGTTAAAAACAGAGGGTTTTGTTTGCACACATTTGCAAATACATGCGTAAGCTACAGTCACACGTCAAGTGTCCTCTGTATACTGTGGACCTAACTAAAATTTCCAAAGCCTCCATAGTAGGAGCACATGTATCAATGGATAGGTAAAGGGCATGTTTGCCTGGAGGAGCCTATTCCTCCTTAAAAGTACAGGGGCGCATGTGATGCTCAGTTATACCAGAATGACAGCAAAGGCATCCAGAGTGTCCCTGCATCCAAATTAGCCAACTACACAAAAAATGGCAACCATCCCAACCTATAACCAGTCTTAGCAGTAAGGTGCACATGGAAGGGCAATGTACATCACAAACAAACAAAGGATTTCCCAGCAACACTTATCAGCCAGCCTGCCTGCAAAACAACCAGTTTGACCCTGTCTTCCCTCTGCTTACTCTGCTCTCCCCTTCTGTCAACAAGTTCCATCAGCACATGTGCACTGCAGCATAGCCTAATTAGCTGTTTTTGCTCCTTTTCCCAGTCTGATTGCTGCATAATGGCAATTAAAAAAAGATGAAATTAAGAGAGATTCAAGGAATTATATTACTTCAATGAAAAATGTATTTTATGATTTTTCAGTCAACTCATAACTAGTGTAATTAGTCTTTTTTTTAATGTGCTTGTATTTTAGCAGTTATGACATTACTGTTAGTTACGTTTTGTAATGACACAGAGAGCAATTCTCATTTTAAACAAGAAGCAAGAACCGAGAGAAGTGGGTAGTTGCCAATCTTAGCACAAACAGGATGTGTCATGTTCTCAGACCCTGATCAGGGGGGAGCGCCGCACTAAACAGGAAATCTGTACTTAATAAACATGTGCCAGTTTGTTTTCAGTGTACTTTATAAAGCGCTACAAGATTCTTAACGCTAGTTTGCAATATTCTGGCTGATCTATAAAGGCAGTGCAATAACTAGATTTGTTTTATCATAGTATGCAATAAACAACAGACCACAAATCTTTTGATGTCAGGGACCCTTTGGTAATTCTCTTGAAGTGATAAAAACTTACATGTGCATGGTGTCACACTCATTTTACAGTATGTTAGTGGCTATATCTCTTTGTTTGGCTGAACACTGGGGACAAAATGTGCTTAAAGTGATACTAAACCCAGGACCCTGCATTCACTATATCTGCTCTCCCACAGTAGACACAACATGGAAATGCAAATATTTTAGTAAATATAAACGGCTAAATACCTTTTCTCATCAGCATTTAGAGCAGTCTTGTGACTTCAGCAGAGCACTGGTTAAAGCTTGTAGGAGGAGTTTTCTATCTGCTCTAGGGGGACGTGAAACCTCTGACCCTCTGGACAGTGCTGATTGGCCATGTGCTGATTACATGCACCCTCCCAAGAAAAAGAAAACCTGTCTAGCAAATCACACTGAACTGAGCATGTGCTTGTAATTACGGATTCAGTCTGTATCAGGTGGATATAACCCCTTAGGGTTCACAGTGCATATAACAAGCATGCTTTACTGCATATACAGACTGATTTTACTGTTGTGAGTTTAGTAACACTTTAACTTTGAAGTGGGCCCCCCACGGCAAGGGTTATCATTTTGTACCTCTGCTCTGTTTCAAATGCCATTTTATGCATTGACACACCTCCTTAGACCCAGTCTGTCCGGTTAGTATGGGCACCTGCTGATTTGGCACTATACACAGGCAGCTTAAAATGTTAATAAGCGCAGGGCCCTGCATTTACTATATCTGGTCTCCTATAGTGCACAGAACATGGAAGTGCAATTATTTTATTAAATATAAACTGCTAAGTATCTTTTCTCTTCAGCAGTTAGAGCAGTCTTGTGACTTCTATCAGTGTCCAGCAGAGCACATGTTAAAGCTTGTAGGAGGAGTTTTCATTTTGCTCTAGGAGGATGCAGAACCCCTGACCTTTGTCTGGACAGCTCTGATTGGCCCAGTGCTGATCACATGCAGTCCCAAGAAAATAAAACCTCTCTAGCAAAATAAACCAAACTGAGCATGTGCAGAGTGACTCCACACCATATGTCTTATCAGGAGATAAGAGGGGGGCACTAGGAGAAGGGGAGGATCAGAGAAGTCAGGATTGAACAGCCTTTCTACACAATGCAGAGGTTATAGGTTATAGGTTCTACAGTGAGTATAACAAGCATGCTTTACTGCATGTACTGGATTTTACTGTTGTGGGTTTAGTAACACTTTAACTCTTCAACTAGACACAAAAGTTAAATCCAATTTTACTTCAGCTGATTTCAGAACAGAGGATGTTTTTCTAGTCCTTTGAAGTAGAAGACAATGAATTTCCTAAGCCCTAACTCTGTGAAGTATTAGCACTCACCGAGGGTACATGGAAGAAATGGGAAGGTTCTAGTTAGGACTAAACTAACTAGAATCAAACAGGAGGGAAGGACAGAGGGAGAAATCAAAATCACATAGCCAACAACCTGTAGTTACCTGAAACCTCCACTTGATGTCAGTATACCACAAAATAATCATTACCTGACATAGTAAAATAAAATGCAGAACAGTTACAAAAAGAGAGGGAAAGTACAACCTCTACACCAGGGGTGTCAAACTCCAACATAATGGTCACCATTATGGTTGCCCTCAAAGGGCCAGTTGCGTTGGTAAGGCTAGATGTCCAGAGCACCCCACTCCCCTTACATCAGATGTCAAGTGCCCCCCACCACCATCAGAGGTCAAGAGTTTCTCATCCTCCCTTACATCACAGTGCACCCCCCTAACCTTGTGCTGCTACCGGGAAGAAGCTGGGAAGCAGACAGTGTAGGGTCTGGAGGAGGACCAGAAGAGGGTTGGAGTTAGCTTTATGCTGAGACCAGGGAAGGTGGAGATGATGGAGTGCTGCGGCTGCACAGAGAAATGTAGAATCTGAAGGAGGAGTTCTGTCCTCCTCTCTTCTGCCAACTGCTGATATGGGGGGACAGAGAAAAGCCTTTCTGCTGCTGGACAGAGAAGAGCAGGATCTGGTGGAGTTCTGTTCTCCTCTCTGCTGAGACAAGGAGGGGATGGAGATGAGGGGGGTACAGCAGCAGAGTTGCAAGGACCACATGAAATGGCTTGGTGGGCTGGACTTAGCCTGCAGGCCTTGTGTTTGACACATGTTCTCTACACCATTGCTTTAGGGCAGAGATGTGAAACTCGCAGTTTGAGAACTGAGATGGAATCCCAGAATTATTTTTTAAAAAATGTAATAATTTTTTGAGGTGGGCTCCAAAATGATCCTTTATATTTAACTGGCGTTTAATGGGATTTGTATGCTTTTTGGATCCATATAAATTACAGATTGGTGTCCTGTACAGTGGGTTTTGCTTTAAAATGTCCTCCTTCTCTAAGGCAGGGGTTTCCCAAATTTTTTAGTAATTCGTTCTACGGACTTTGACGAATGTCTGTTGTTAATGGTCTATAAAATAAACATATATATTTATTCCCACAGGACGAAGTTAAACATTCTCATAAAGCATTTGGATTATTAGATATGACTGTATTTACATGACCACAGCACAATGGATTTCCAAAGCTTGAACTCTTCTATCAGTACACCATCAAGTACACCAGACTTCCAAGAACCCACCACTTCCACCATTGATCAAATAACTGCTTTCTTCCAGAGCATCTATACAATGTTACAAAATAAACATGAAAATGGACTCTACAACAGTATCTGCCTGGGAGTTCTGCTTGCCCTGCCATTGCTTGTTCTGTTCATCTCTAGTATTATCTGCTGTCACTATTGCTGTTGTCGGACCAAAAAAATTAACACGCTCAAACCGCTTCCAAGCAAGAAGAAAAAGAAGAAGAATGGAGAGGAGGACTTATGGATCTCCAGTCCTCAAGGCAAGTCCATCATGCTGGAGAAGGTTCCTTCTTTTAATGTATAGCGCTGGGACTATGGGCATGAAACCATTGGACAGATTCTTCTTGATAAGCACAGAATGACTGTTACAGCTTAGCAATAAAATATGAATAAGTGTTATGGCATTTGATGCAGAATACATACTGTAGGTCTACTGTTCATCCTTAGCTCAGTCTGCGGATACTGCTTCTTATAACATTCCACATATAGCAATGTGAACCATCAGTGTGTCCGAGTCTTTTTCAATTAAATAAACTGAAGATAAGCCTTTTTATAAGCATGAAGAAGTGGGAGTGCCTCATAAATCTGGATGGAGTGTAATCATTCACATGCATAACTCTGTGAAAAGGGATTTCCTACACTGTTGTAAGCCCTGCTTGGTGACACGGAGGGGCTCTCACCTACTCACCTACTATCTCCCTAAGTTTCCCCATCCTGATGTCACTGATTTTACTTGGTGGAGTCCATATATTGAAATACAGTTCATAGTTCATATAAAGATCTATTGTATTTTATGGTTGTGATACTATTCTTAATTTCACCAGCAGGTGGCGCTACAGTAAACTTGAGAACACATGGGAGCTGTAGAATGGAAGAATTGAAGAAATATATATTATAATATAAATATATATATATATATGTGTGTATATATATACTGTTTTCATACCTCTTGCTGACATGAATCCCCCATATTAAGAGCTGTGCAAGGGAGTGTGTCAGCACAATTCTGACCACTGGATTACAGGCAGGCTGTGCTCCCAAGTAGGAAAGAAACAAACTGACTACGTTGGGATAGATGCGCTTCTATGCCTAGCGGGGTCAGTTTGAAGTAGGAATGCAGAGGGGCTGGCAGGATCACCAGGTGTTTCACACAAAGGAAGCAACACAAAGAGAACAGTATACTTTTTTTTTAATACAAGTACATGTATACGTATCAGAAATATGTAATATTGAGGTAAAATACACTTTAATGTTCTTATCAATGTGCAATCGGCAAACAACTAAATAACCATAACTTTCCTTCCAATCGATTTAGATTTGATTTAGATCAGATTTGGTCAAACAGGTGGCCAGCGTGTTGATCAGTTTTCATTGATCAGCAGCACTGAGAGGCTTTGGTCATGAGTTCAATTGCATTAGGAATAGTGCCCCATTGTTGATCTCAGTGGAAGGAATAGTGCCCCACTGTTGGTCTTAGTGGAAGGAATAGTGCCCCATTTTTGGTGTCGGTGGAAGGAATAGTGTACAGTTGTTGGTCTTAGCGGAAGGAATAGTGCCCCACTGTTGGCGTCAGTGGAAGGAATAGTGTACAGTTGTTGGTCTCAGTGGAAGGAATGGTGCTCATTGTTGGTGTCAGTAAGGAATAGTGTACAGTTGTTGGTCTCAGTGGAAGGAATAGTGCTCATTGTTAGTGTCAGTAAGGAATAGTGTACAGTTGTTGGTCTCAGTGGAAGGAATAGTGCTCATTGTTGGTGTCAGTGGAAGGAATAGTGCTCATTGTTGGTGTCAGTGGAAGGAATAGTGTTCATTGTTGGTCTCAGTGGAAGGAATAGTGCTCATTGTTGGTGTCAGTGGAAGGAATAGTGTTCATTGTTGGTCTCAGTGGAAAGAATAGTGTTCATTGTTGGTCTCAGCGGAAGGAATAGTGTTCATTGTTGGTCTCAGTGGAAAGAATAGTGTTCATTGTTGGTCTCAGTGGAAGGAATAGTGTTCATTGTTGCTCTCAGTGGACGGAATAGTGTTCATTGTTGCTCTCAGTGGACGGAATAGTGTTCATTGTTGCTCTCAGTGGACGGAATAGTGTTCATTGTTGGTCTCAGTGGACGGAATAGTGTTCATTGTTGGTCTCAGTGGAAGGAATAGTGTTCATTGTTGCTCTCAGTGGACGGAATAGTGCTCATTGTTGGTGTCAGTGGAAGGATTAGTGTTCATTGTTGGTCTCAGTGGAAGCAATAGTGTTCATTGTTGGTCTCAGTGGACGGAATAGTGTACAGTTGTTGCTCTCAGTGGAAGGAAATAGTGCCCATTGTTATTTTCAGTGGGAGGAATAGGGCTCCATCATTAGTGTCAGTCAGTGATAGAAATAGTGCCGTTATGGTTGGTGTCAATGGGAGGAATAGTGCCCCAAGGGTCTGATAAAAGCAAGGAAAAAGCTGCATCTGGCCTGCAAGCTGCTGTTTGAGCAGCACTAACCTTATGTTAAACCATTGAGAAGCTTGTGGCGCCGCTCGAGGCTGTATGTAGATAATAATCACCCTGTTGGCAGAGAAGGAAAGAGGGAGAAGCATCCCAAGCTACTCCTGAGACTTGGTGAGGTATGTGAAGGTGAACACCACTCAAATCGATCCCCAGGAGTCAGAAAACTCTGGCCACGCCCTCTGATGCATTTCACCCCCGCCCATAGGGGGGACTTGGTCACAGAGCCTCTGTGACCAAGCCCCCCAGTGGGCGGGGTGAAACACATAAGAGGGCGTGGCCAGAGTTTTCTGACTCCTGGGGATCGATTTGAGTGGTGTTCACCCTCACATACCTAACCTTATGTTAGAGTTTAGCTTCTAATGTTTACAATTTTTTAAGACAGGGTTCACACCTGTGTTTTTATTGCACATCAATCTCCATTGGATCAATGGAAACAGTGGCTTAACTACAATCTTCAGAGCCATGGCACAAGAAATCATGAAGGGCCCTTCCCTCTGAGCCCGGTGGTGGAACGCCAGGGCAGGTTGCAAGTGAGACCTTTGTGACTCTGGCAGTTCTGCCACTAGTGTCAGCAATATTTTTTTATTTTGTTATTTTTTTTTTTTTTACAATCTTTTTATTATTTTTACAATTTTTTTAGGAGCCCCATTGGGGGCTTTGGTGAGATATCAGGGGTCTAAACAGACAGATGTTCAACCTTTGAGACAGAAAAAGACAGAGATTGAGGACACAACCTCCAACCTCACAGTCCTCCCTCCAGCTCTGCTGCTCCAGAGGCACAGAATGAATGGACAGGAACTGGTACCTTTATATGCACCTGCCCCCACTGAACCTCATATCCAGGCATACAGGGGGCCACACTGGCCCCTTACAGCATGGGGCCAGGGTGCAATTGTGACCCCTGTAGGTACACCCCTGAATAGAAACCTATAAAAATGTATTGTTTTACACAAGTTGACGTGTTACCTAAAAACATATACAGTGTGTGTGAATGCAGCCAAGAACATACTAAAGAAGGCTGTATGCCTTTCCAACAAATGCTGCAAAATTTATATTTAAACATTAGCATAAAAGAAAAGTAAAAAAGTTTCCTATAGTATAGAACAAATTTGTAATAAATTGCATCTTAGCATCCTTTTATATTCACTTGATGATACTGCCAGTAACACATTTAGGCCGGCCATACATGGGTCAATTTTCGAACAATTTTTAGTTCGAAAATCGGACCTAAGAATAATATTTTTGCTCTGTTAGTGGGGCAATGCCACCGGCCAATTTTTGTGGTTCCTCCCCATTTCGTTTATTGGGCATGCTGGAAAATTTGTGAAAAACTACTGATTTTCTAAATCATTGGTGGCACCATTGGATTACAGAACGAACAATGTTTTTGATTTTCGATCGAAAAATTGTTCGGAATTCGACCCATGTATGGACTACTTTAGGGATAGATTTACTAAAACTAGGGCGCTCAGAATCTGGAGCAGCTGTGCATAATAGCCAATCAGCTTCTAACTTCAGCTTGTTCAATTAAGATTTGGCAATAAAACCTGCAAGCTGATTGGTTTCTATGCAGAGTTGCACCAGATTTTGTACTTTCCAGCTTTAGTAAACAAACCCCTTAATGTACTGACTGTATGGAAGAGCAGCCTTGTCACCCAAGGACAAGAAGTTTGTTAGAACTAGAGAACACCTTTTTACTTTCCTCTTCTCCATAACATGGGGGGGGGGGGTTCTGTAGTCCACAGAGACAACTGTAAGCAATGCTGACTGTTAAGAGTGCAGCAGAGGCAGAGAGCATGGGACTTTATCAGCTAACTGGATTTTTGGCATAATCAACAGGTATTTTTTACAATTCTCAAACAATTATAACAACATGATTTCAATTTTATATTTAACAAGCCAGGGAAGCAAAAAGATAAGTTCATGGTTGAGGTTTACAAACTTTAGACCAAAAGCATGATGAAATGTAATTGCTATAAGCAGCTCATTTATTAAAAAGAAAAGATACAATTATTATTTTGTTTCATATTTGTTGGCTGAAGTTTATTATTGAGGTGCCAGTAAGTACATAAAAATGGTTCTAAGAGCTCATTCACATGTGTGGCTATAGTGCTGCCCCTCTAAGAAGCCATCCCGTTGCCTCCTCTCCACCTGCCACAACAGTGTACATTGCACGTGGTTGCAGCTCAGCGCCATGCACTTGAATGGGTCACATTTGGCAGCCGTCCTGCTTGCTGAATGCCATATGCCATTTAACTTTGGCCTTGTGACTGCAGCACGGGTATGCCCCTCAGAGGCTGCATTGCTTTGTTCAGGTTGATGGTTGGGGGACAGAAACTACTACCTTCTCCCAATCACCCACCTAGACAAAGCAATGCAACCACTTAGGGTTGTACCCATGTCAAGGCTGCAATGTTTAGCAGCAACAGATAAACAGCTTGTCGCATTTGGCAAGCAGTTCCATGCCAAACATGACACATTCAAATGCAACATTTTGAGAAAAATAAATAAATCACGATATGCTTCCTTACCACCTGGCAAACGCCCTCTGAAAAGTGATCCACCATGGATCCCTTTTCAGAGAGACAGTGGGAAGGCTGTACAGGTCAACAAGTCTGTTTTTGGGCAAGGGAGTGCCTATAAGGGCTAAGAGGTGTCCCCTGTTCACATTTTAGAAAGTTGGTTAACATAAATGAGCTTGAGTCCTCATGCACACTTGACGTTTTTACAGCGGCTGTTTTTGGCTTTTGATGTTTTTTTCTACAGCCAGTAAACCCCCCCAGCATGTTATCCTATGTGTCCATTCACACAGAGACTGTAATCAAC